TTTAGAATTATGAAAAAAGGATTCTGATAGGGTTGTTTCTGGTAGTTGTTTAAGGAGTGGTATCTCAGAGAGTGACTATGCAGAGATCTGGCTATGATCAGGGAGATCGTGGATAGAATGTCAGGGGGGGAAGGAGAAGGTGAGAACTGGAAGATGGGAGGAAGCAAGGGGGGGTCAACATGGGAAGGGACGTCTGTCTAAGTAAGTAGGTCAGAAGGACAAAGTTGGGACGACGCAGACCGGTGCTGGAGCTTTTGCTCTGTAACCTGGGGGAGCAAGAGGTTTGTGGAGTTATGTGAGGGAGGAAGGCATAACCAGTTTGTCCGACGTAGCTGATGCCGGGGTTTTTTCCCTATAACTTAGGGGCGTGTGGCTAATCGAGAGTGTCGAGGGAGGAAGGCACTCTTTGCCGTCTGAACCAGGCTGGTCGGTACTGGGGAAGTTTGTGTTGCTCTATAACCCTAGCATAGAGGGGTATGAGATCAGCTGAGCTCTGGTACGAGGATTAAACGCTTGGACTTAACGTTTTTTCGCTTGTTGAAGGGGAGGTGTAAACAGTAGGAGGTCTTCTGTTTCCAAGGTATGGATTGTGATTGGGTAGATAATAGGCAGTTTCTTTTCTGAGAACTACAGTTGTCTTTAAAAAGTTGTTTCTCAAAGGTTTTGGCAGGTTTGGTAATTGACTGATTGTTTTCCTAGCCGAAGTCGGGTAAGGGCCCCGAAACTTCAAACATGTTACATATTCCCAGTTGTACTTCACAGGGACGTTGAGCCCGGTTCTCAGCATGTGATGCTCCCCACGAATAGATTGGAACTTTTGCTCCCCCCCCCCCAAAAAAAAAAAAAAAAAAAAAAGTGTAGGGGGAGGAAGAAAAGAAAAACGGTGCACGATGATGTCGTGGAGGATGGCTATGGCACGAGTAAGAAGGCATCACTCGCTCGATTCTCTGTGGAATCAAGCGGGAGAAGAGCTGAAGTAGGGGTTTTCGGGGATGGCGACCCTGAATCCGAAGTTAGAATTAGTGGAAAGTTAGTAGGAAGGGAGGTCACTAGGGAAAGGTGTGCGCGGAGTGTCGAGGGAGAAGAAGATGGAGGGAGCAGATATTGCAAAAAATTTGATCAGCTCTCGATGAAAATGAGGGAGAAGAGATACTAGTTGGGGTTTTTGAAGATGGGCGAATCCGATCGCAAAGTCGGATCCGAAAGTTAATGTGTGGATTAGGCGGTACGAGTATCGAGAGTTGCGGCCGGAGAGAGGGGATTTTTGAAAATGGCAATGTATCTACCGTGTTCTAGCGGAAGATTCATTCGATTTTGCTCATCCTAGCGATGGAAAAGATGTGAAGCCGTCCACGAGGTTGGAGACTTACCTGCTGGCCGGCACAGTGCTCGACGGGCCAAAGAAGAAGCATCTCTCTACCTCTCTGTGAGCATAGCTGGAGGCAGGGCACATCGCTACCATCTACGAGAGGGTCGTTTTTTTGCCTTGCTCGTATTGTCGATAGGGCCAGCGGGGAATGAGAGGCGAACCGGGGAGTTACCCGCTAGTTGAAGTACCGTCGGTTGCTAAGCCACGGGGATCGGAGGTTTACCCCATTGGTCGATACGCAGCCCATTTACGTCAAGCGGAGCGGCGATGAGGAGAAAAGCCGCGAGAAGGAATGCTTCACCACTGGCAGGAGCACAGCCCACCATGTCAAACGGAGTGACTGAAGGCTATGTTGGAGTCTGGGGTATTCCTGTTGGTCGACGAACTGCTATTCCGCCAAAACGAACGAGTTGCAAGTGAGCAGCGGGGAGGAGATTGCAGGCTTGTTCATCAGGTGGTGTGAAGCCCATCCTGTCAGTCAAAATAGCAAGGAACGAGCCGTGAAGATTGTAGGCTTTCCTACCAGCTGGTGCGCTGTTCATACTACCGGTTGAGGTAGCCGGAGGCGAGTCTCAAGGGTTGTAAGCTCTCCCATGGCCCACGAACTTAGGATTGTAAGTTTCTGGGGTGGTTGAGATTGTTGTAAGAGGGGTCGTTGTTGAGAGTTGGAGAGGCGCCAAGGAGTCAACAGTAGGCAGTTGGGCGTCAGTTTGACCAAGCTGCTGCGTATTTTGGCTGCCATTGCGGGACCCTCAGGCGCATAAAAGTATCAAGGCCCTCTCCTGCGAGTTCAGTTTGTCCCTCCCTTGTATCTTGAGCGTCTGAGACCCCTTATCTTCTGCCCTTCTTACTCTAAGTCTACTCCGAGGTTAGGAGAGGAAGGCGGCAGGCGGGATTGCAACCCGTAGGACCGCAACAAGACTCTGTGGGGAGTCAGCCCACCGATTGTCGGAGCTCTGCTGGAACTCAGGAGGAGTTCTGGAGGCAGGGAACTGAGAGGTAACCTTTCACCCTCCTTTTATAAACCCTGTTATAAACCATATTCGTACTCCTTGCTATGTTTGACTGAGTATATTGTCTGCACCACTACTTTGACTTTCAGGACACGATTCAGACTTAAGTAAAGGAATGCATGTGTAATGTCAGTTTCAGCGTTGTTGTCTGACTGAAAGCAGATTGTGGGAAGGGATTGCATCTAGGGGAAGGATGGGAGAAAGGCAGTATCGCTCGTGTCTGACCGGGTCTATCAAAGGTTGGGCAAGTCTCTATAAGCTTGGGGAGACTCGGTGCTATGTTTATTTTTGAGTTGCTTGGAGGACCAGACAAGTTCCATAAGTTTGGGTGGTCTGGTTGCTCTGACTTGCAAGGGTTGTCTGTGGATGATTTTTTGGGGACCTAGCATTGTCCCATAAGTTTGGGTGGCTTGGTTGCCTTGCTTATTTTGGGTCTTCTCAGTTTCTTTTGGTTTTGAACGAGGGGGTTTGAGCATGTTCCATAAGTTTGGGTGGCTCAACCTCTTCCTGCTTTACCATTAAGAGAATGAATCAGGCAGAGGACCAGACATGTTCCATAAGTTTAGGTCTTGGTCCAATGCCACGCACATGCTGGAACCAAAAGGTTATAACTTGACTATATTTTACTATTATTTTACCTATGAACAGGCTAGTCAGACATTGTCCGATAAGTTTGGGTGGTCTGACTATAGCTTATCACAAACTGAAGAGAGTATTAATTAAGAATAAACTTGTGGTAAGAAGGGGCAGGTTGAACCTCGAGTTAACATGATCAGTTCAGTCATGTGTTACCTTAAAAGAATAAGTGCAGATAATTATATATAACTGGGATATTTAAATAGTTCAGAGCGACTAGGATGGACAACCTAGTCATATGCCCAAGGAAGAGAAAAGTTGTGGTGCCCTCTGTTTGCGTGTACTCAATGGCTTAGCTAGACACTTTTTCATAAGTTTGGGTGGTCTAACTTTATGCCTTATGCAAGCTGGGTATAAGGGATAACTCATTAAAAGACTACGAACTATTTGTTTGACAAGATTAACTTTGGGGCTGGTGAGAGTACTTATCTTTGTGGTTTTACCTTACATGTGACCTAGTGAGATCGTTACTTAGTCTAAGTTTCAGTTTGACAGGTAGTTGCTTTAGAGGCTCGCCACGTGCTAGAGCTATAAGAGTTAGTTCAATTTCTGTATTTTCTGAGCTAAGTTTTTTTTACTTAGATGAATTCCGCATTTTCTGGGATCATTTGTTATACTTGGCTTTGTATAAATCTTCGTAAGCTACTTTCTCTACGGGAAGCGCTGCCGAAATTTCTGCAAATCCAAGGAGTTAGTTAAAATTTGACTTTTTCAAAATTCAACTTGTCTAATTTTTATATATGGCTTAGTAAAAATTTGAAAAGTCTCCTTTTCTAAAGGGAGTGCTACCCAAATTTTTGCTAATTCTAGGAGTTAGACAAAATTTGACTTTGGAAAGTTGAAGATTATTTCGGTTTTTATATTTGGGCTAGTATAAGTTCTGAGAAGACACTTCTCCTACGGGAAGCGCTGCCGAAATTTTCTTAGATTAAAGGAGGTAGATTATATTTTGACAGATGGCGATTTTGGCAATCCACTCTGCATAGGAGAGATTCTGCCATAGGTCTACCTTTTCTTGAGCACTGGCTTAGAGGTAGACTTAGACTTAGTTATTAGGAGATCTTGAGAGGGAATGTGCTATGGAGATTCATTCCTCATACAATGATAGTCAAGCCTTGGGAATTCGCCTGTCTTGTGTCACAGGTCCTTCGTTGATTGATTCAATTCAGGATTGGACTAAATTCAGTTTGATCTTACGAGGATCATCTTCTGTTATCACTGATAACATGTCGGTTGGTTGATCGTCGACTCGTCGGCTCACGACACAACTTTGCTTATACTTGTACCTCAACTTGATACCTTAGCCCTGAGATTTGACATGTTTCTTTGAGGGTTTTAACCAGACTTCTTTTAATGACCATTATAAAGAACTTATGAGATTTTATGGAAAGTTGGACTATGATTGGGGCTTGAGTGTGTGAGGTGTGGTGTGAGTTACAAAGAACAGTAAAGTTGACCACATTGGTGTATGGCAATGTGGCATTCGTTTGCGTTTGTGTTTTATACAGGTTAGTGTTTTGGAGTCTGTGTACAAGCCTTACTTTGGAGGAAGTTAGAATGACAACCATGTGTCGCACGATCTGCATACCTGATGGGTTTATCTTTCCTTCCTTGGATTTATCTCGAGTTTTGATTTAATATGGATATCGGAATGCCTGTTTATTTACCAAGTAATTTTGCTTGTAAATTTTATGGTTGGACGTTGAAGTCCATGGCAGCCGTCAAAGTCAAACCCCTTGATCTGATGGCAAGCCCCCGCTGAGGGAGTTGGTCTCCATGACAATAAGAGACGATTGCCAGCACATGTATGAACTTGTGTACCACCCACTCTCCGCAGGGTGCAGAAGAGGGTGTGGTTATCAACCGCACTTGGCGGTTGTCTAGCGTCAAGAGATTAACCTCTCAAGGCGCAAGTCAGCCGACACTTGAGTGTCGAATGCGACCCTCGAGATTAGCGAGGACCGCATGATTATGGGTACTACATAGTACGCCATCGTTGCGACCGCTTGCATAAGCATGCATTGCTAGTTGATATGCAAAGACTCTACGTCCGCATGGTTTTATACTAAGTCTCGCGCGCGTCGCCTATCCGGTTTCCGCACCGGAAGGTTATGAGATGACTACAGAAGGGACTAGGAGTGTTGTTGTGTTGTTTGTTTTGTGTCGTTCCGTGTGTACGAGTGTTGTGGTGTACGCTTGGTATGTGGGGTGCGTCCTAGTCGACCAGCGACGAGTCGCACTTGGGACTTCAGCCCTCTAGTGCGTCGGTTCGCGTGCGGGTCCGATAGAGGCGTAAGACCGCGCGTACCCCCTATGCTACAGCGAACGAGAAACGCCCTCGGCTGGTCCACCTCTGCGATTGCAACTGATTAGCTTTCCTACTGTGGATTAGTAGCTCGGCGGGGATACGCCCACCGAAGGGAGGTGACAACTCCCGCAGGTGGAGGTAAATCGCGCCTCGCGTAGGCCCTATCCTGTTGTAGGGCTCGCAAGAGGTATGGCTGGCGCACTCGGCCGGAGCGGCTTGCGGAAGCTCCATGTGTATTCACGACGAGGATTAGACCAACTCCTGCGTGACGCGGCCGGGAGGGTCCCGCCCTGCGTGGTGTGGGACCGATGCGCTTGACAGCGGGGGGGGGACTGGTGACTCATCCACTCAGGTGCCAAGCAACCATCAGCCACAACTCACCTGGGCGGATAAGCTCAGGAACCCTCTCCAAGGCCAAACCCTCACCATTCAACGTGGCCAGGGTGGTCCACGGACTGGGAAGTTGGAGATCCCCCTGGATGGGTTGTCACCGCCACGGATGTTTCTTGATGTCAAAATTTATGCTCCCGTCGAAAACGAGAGTGGTGACCCAAAGGGGCCAGCAGGTCATGGTGAAGGCATACCCCAACCAAGGAATAGCCAGCAGAGATGAAATCTACACGAAACATGCAAACAACTGGGTGTTTCATGACGATGCGGCCTTCAAGTCGGTCAATGATAAGGTTAAATGGATTGGCTGTCGGCTCAAAATCTTGAAAAGTAGTGCCGGCTTGGCCCAGGATCAATCTCTGATTCAATTAGTTACAAATACCATGTTTACAGTCCTTTCTATGCATGAAGCTGATAAAATGGTGATTGATGGTTGGAAGCACCTCCGGTGTGAGCGGTCGGAGGTTCGGATTTACCCGTGGGTGCCACAGCGCAGGTTGGGACCGGAGGAGAGGAGGGCACAATTGATGCAGTATTTCCATTGGGTGGAATTTCGCCATATCCCAGTCGAAATCCAGGCGGCTTTCGTATATGATTTTGGATTGCTATACAACATTGTTGCATTCATCAACCCCCTTTCCACCTTTGTGGCTAAGAGGGATGATTATCTGATGCTGGCCTTGGACTTTCCCCAGGGTCAGTTGTTATCCCTCGACGATGTGATCCCATGTCGGGTGGGGGGAAAGGAATACATGATCACACTGCCCATAAACTGCGACCGTGGTGTCATAGTGTAGAGCATATGGCCATCTGAGCACAAAGTATAATTGCCCGTTGCACCCACAAAAAGGGCGTGAGCAACAGGGAGGCTGTTAAGGGACCTGATCGAGGTGACTCATTGGCAAACAGTGGATCCAGGGCATGAAGGATGGGTTTTCATGGAGGACAGTACGAAAGAGGGCTCCCTGGTGGGATGGATATGAGAGAGAAACGGGGAGCCAAAGTGGGAGACACGTCCTCCGGATGCATGGGTTCCTCCGCCTCAGGTGGAGGAGAAGGTACAAGAGACCCCTGAAAGGGAACTTAGAAGAGACGGGCTGGAGGAGTGTGGGAAAGAAGGGAGGGAGAGGGATTTGGGTTCAAAAGCAGCAAGCAGAATCCGGGACGAAGCCGAAAGATAAAGAAAAAGATAAAGATAAAACGACCCCCGATGCCACCCCTAGCCCGGCTGCAGTGCGATACATTTAGGAGGAGGGTGACAGGGGGTCTGAAGGAAGCGTCGGCCCCTCCCACAACAAACGGGGGGGATGACGGCGAGGCGGCGGCACGACAGGGGGCAGGCGACACGTCAATGCAGATTGAGGTAATAAACAATTTCCCCGAGCAGCCAGACTTAGAGAGCGAGGGGAGGTTGACGGGAGGCCAGACAGAAGTGGAAGGAATGGAGGTGGAGCCGGAACGGCGGAGGTCAGAGAAGGAGGGGTGTTTGGAAAAGGCGAAGGAGGGGCCCCCAAGACAGAATCAGATGATGGAGATTGACCCCAGGCAGCCTTTGACCCAGAACCGATGGACGTCGACCCTCTCCCGGAAAACACCTGTGAGGTACCAGAGGGTCTGTCCTGTGAGGGGGTCGAGGAGGAGGGGACCTCGCCGCTGCACCTGCCTGCGGAACAGAAGTTGGTGGATATTGCGGACTGGTTGATGGCCAATCTGAAGGCAAAACACGGCCCCCTCGCCGACGACTTCTGGGACAAAACGTACCTAGACTTGTTCCCCATGCTTGACATGAGTGCCTCGCTAAAATATGTCATGGAAAACGGACTGCATCCCGACGTTAGGTGGACAAAAGCGTGACATAGAGTGGCTACTACAGTGTTTGCAAGGTTCCAGCCACCACACCCAGCTGCAGCGGAGGAAGTGGGGCACAGTGAGATGCGGACCGCAACGGTAAATGAACAAACAAGGGAGACACAAACCCCACCGGTCCTTCAGCCGCCGCCCTCCCCCGTCAGACCCGACCCCCCCGGACCCACACGAGAACACACCACTGGACCTGGTGCGAAGAAGAAAACTAAGACATTTGGTTAAGATGGGTCAGGATATGGGGCCTCTGTCGCAAGTGGCGATGCTGCTGCTCCCAGTCCGAAAGAAAAGTGGGAAATGGGAGGTTAGTCTGACACCTGTCGAAAACGACAAATGAGGGGGGGGTACGTTGCAGGGTTGGTCCTCCCTTTGGGCCGAGCCGTAGCACAGCCAATCTGAGGCGACAACAAGGATCTTACAAATGCAGCTGGAAACATACATTGCAGAATCCATGCCACCGGAGGTACAAGCTACAGCCTCCGTGACAACCGCCCCTGACATTATCTTGCAAAGAGACGTTTACATCCGCTACAGCCAAAAAGGCGGGGCTGAGATGGCACACGTATTCCCAATTGCTGGGCCTGCAGACAGTTAGGATCAGGTCCAATGAGACCTGGACAGATCAGAATGTCCAAAGGTCCTTCTGTGCTCTTCTCTGGCTGGGCCTCCAGGCGGGAGCCGCGGACTAGGTCTTGGAACAATTGTCGTGGACCAGACTGTGAATAACCAACTGCCACGACTAGAATGGACCCGGTCAGAGTGGTATATGGGAAGGACCGTATCTGGAACCAATGTCGGCGGGCGGCGAACCTCGAGCTGCGGTCCTTTAATGTAAATGGCCTAGCCTCATGTAAATCTGATAGAAGAATGCAATATGGGATTTGATGAGAGGGGTGGGGAGGAGGGACTGGCCGAAGCACAATCGCATCCACAAAATGGTTTGGCCATACAAAGCTTTCAGAGCCCATGCCCCGAGACCCGGGAGTGCGGGGGTGGCCATTTGGATCCCCCCTGAATCCCGAGCAAACCTGGTGCATTGGGTGGTTGACCAGGAAGGGGGCAGATGGGTGTCAATTCTGGTCACGTTGGAGATAGAGATCGTATGCATATTGTGCATTACGCCCCATATACCGTTGTCGGGACTGGTGAGTCCCGAATAACTTCCCATCACTCAAGAGACCGAATATGGACGAGTTGTGCACAACAGAGAAATCCGAAGTGAGACGAGATAAAGGATTAGGGCGCAGGAGGGAGTAATGCCCTGGGGCGAGAACCATAGGGGGAAAGAACTAAGCGGCGGCAAGCGAGCGAGCGCAAGAACAGGCGCACATAAAACATAGCAGGAGGCCGGGAGGGCCATCGGAATGCAATAAGACTAAGGCCAAAGGGCCCTTTGAACTAGCAATGGCAGCGCGACAGCAATAAGGGAATGAGGAAGTCGAGGGATGGGCGGCCAGAAGCCGCGGGAAGCAAGGAAATGAGGGGCCAACGTGGGGGCCACCTACGGGAGCCTCGGAGCGGAGGCCCACGACCAAAGAGATCGACACGCACAAGGCGCGAGGAAAGATTAAGGAGTGGGGTCGCTATGGGGCGACAAGACGCCCAAGGGGCATGGGACACCTCGGGGAAAGGCACCCGGGGCCACGTGGGACTAAGTAAAAATAATGGCGTCCGGGGCAAAATGTGTCGGGGACCGCCGACGGGACTAAGTGTCGGGGACTACCGACGAGACTAAGTGTCGGGGACCACCGACGGGACTAAGTGTCAAGGACCACCGACGGGACAAGTGGCGGGGACATGTGAAAGTCCCAAGAAGAAACGGCGGCATTGCACGAGGGAAAAATAATAAATGCAAGGTGCACCGTCAAGATCGACATCTTGACGGCCAAGAATATTAGCACCACTAGTGCAAGTACTAGTGGTGACAAACGGGAAGACCAAAAGGAAAAGGAAAAGTAAAGAAAACTGAAGTGGGAGGCATGGGAGCAATCCGAAAAATCTCGGATCGGCCTCCCTCAAGAAAATAGAGTCAAATAAGACCCCATGTGAAAAAGAGCCCTCCGGGAGAAAAGCGGAGTAGGAGGGACCATTGTGGGAGAAGTGTAGAAGTAAAAGGAGGCTCCCATGGGCATGGGAAGGCCATTATTGCAGTCCGAAAAATAACGGACTGCACCTTGGGCATAGGGAGGGCCAAAACTAAGAGGAAGAGGCTAGAAAAGGGCCTTAACGACCACTTGACACTTGGCATGCTAGAAAAAAGAGAGAAAAGAAAAGAAAATGGGGGAGAATAAGACAAAAAGAGTGAGAGGGAGTGAGTGAGTTGGCCGTTAGTAGGGACTGTCATAGGTAGGGACTGGCAGGTCCATACTGTCCAAGAAAGGAGGAGAAAAGAAAAGAAAAGAAAAGAAAAGAAAAGAAAAGAGAAAAATGCCTTAACGATAAAAAACGGTCACTTGGGGTGATTCATCCGTGACCAGATTCATTCTGGAATATGGCGATTACAAAGGACTTTGATTTTCTTTGATTTTTTCAGAGAAAATCAAGGCCTCTTGCAACCGAAATAAAGCGGAATACATGCATGAGGAGAAACACATGTTTTAGGTGCATCCGGAGCCAAAATCACGGCCGGGTGCACTTGGGAATTGACCGTTTCTTTTTCTTTTGAGTAGGGGCTAGTTGTGGGGCATTGGGGCCAAGGAATTGACCCCCATTGCAGTCCGAGTTGCAACGGACTGCATGGGGGAAAGAAAACACATGTTCTAGGTGCATCCGGAACCAATATTGAGCTCGGATGCACTAGAAAATTTAACGCTTCATTTTCTTTTAACATGGAGCAAGTTGAGGGGCTGTGGGTGTAGAAAACAGCCATGACTACAGTTCGAGAAATTACGGACTGCATAGGGATGCCAAGGCCAAAGGGGAATGGGCTACGGCAAACCCGGAAGGATAGAAAGGAGCAATTTCGGCAAGAGGCAAGTAAAGACGGTAAACGGCAACCGTAAGATGAGATCCCACGGCCTAAAAAAATCGGCACACATGGAGAAATTATGGGACCACCAAGGGCAATGGGCCCCAAAAAAAATAAATATGGGACGTCGTCCGGAATGTTGCAGGGGACCAAATGAGTCCAAATAATAAAAGTCGGAAAACGGAACACGCGCCGGCGGGACTGCCGGCGGCATAAAGAAATGGAGCTAGCATGTGGGAAAATGGCGGGGACTTGGGATGTCCCAAGGGAACCATGAGCAAACACAAGGAATAATTGTGCAAGCAAGTGGCACTGTCGAAATCGAGGATCTAGACGGTGGAAAATATTAGCACCACTAGTGCAAGCACTAGTGGGAGCAAGTGAGAGAACCATGGGAGAAAGAAAAGTGAAATAAGGATGTTGGGAAGGCTGCTCAGCAGTCCGGGATATCTCGGACTAGCAAGGCATAAGAAAATAGAGCCTTGAGAGGCTCAACATGAGAAAAAGGCTGCCCTTAGAAAATCGGACCAAAAGGGGCTCAAAATTGGGCAAACGGGAACAAAATGGAGCCCCCTAGGAGCATGGGGGTGCCATTATTGGAATCCGAGATGCAACGGCCAAGTAACAGCCATGAACCTGGCCTTGAATGAGGCCCTAGGGCCTAGAAAGAGGGTGCACAACAGTTTGACACTTGTCACAACAGAAATAAAAGAAAAAGAAAGAAAAATGAGAGAAAAAGGAGAGAAAAAGGAGGGAGAATGAGACAAAAAGGGAGAAAAGAGTGGAGGAGAGTGTGTCGACCTATTGGGACCTGCACAGTAGGGACTGGCAGGTCCCAACAGTGACCTCATCCCTCCTAGAATGAGGGAGGGCAATCCGGATTACAGAGATATAGCCCTTAGGGCCATATCTCAATAAAATCTGAATTAAAAAGCTGAAAATGAGAGAAAATGCAAAAAGGAAGTGGCCGGTTTTCTTTCGGGCCATGGATCTGAGATCAGATCTCATGGTAGAGAGGAACTAGCCGTTTTTTGTGGGCCAGCTCAAAACGGCTAGCTCCGGAATGAGGTGGCAGCCCAAAATGGAAAAAAACAAAAGAGGGAAAATGACAAAACAGTGCATTTGCCCCAAAAAGAGAGCCAGATGCACCAAAAATTGAAAAATTGGACTTAGGGGCTCAAAATTGAAGCAAGGGCTACTAGGGGGTAGCTCGGATTATTGCTGGCCTTGGATCTCAGCCAGATCCAAGGCTGAAAATGTGCCGCCATATGGAAAAATGCTCCAGCCTACTCAAAAAAGGCCGAAACTTGAAAAAATCGAGAAAAAGGTCCACAAGGCCTTTTTCTTTCAAATATTGCTGCCGCTTGGGCATTAGGACCCTAGGGGGCAGCATTTGAGCAATGAAAAAGAGGCCGGGGTAGGCCAAGAGGCAGTCCGAGTTGGTACCAACCACTTGGACTGCATGTACTTGGCCAAAATGAGGCCCTKGTACCTCCAGGAGCGCATAGTGAGGGAATTTTGCCTTGGGGGTACCTCGGTTCACCTCAAGGCACTTGKAGAGGCTCATGGGATGGCCAGACTGTTAGTTTCAGCCTACATAAGCTGAGGATGCAGTCCGCCACTCTCACATTTGCATAAGGAGTGCCCATGCTGCCCAAGTGAGCTCACAGGAGCACCTTTGCACTTGGAGTGAGGAGGGAGGAACCCATGCTAGTGGGAGAGCTTAGAGGAGACTAGGAGGTAGTGGGGAGGACTCTAGAGGATAGCGAGGCTTAGCCTGTTGGCTGGCGGAGGGAGTACCACTGCATGCGGACAAAGACGGAGCCTCAGAGGCGATTAGTAGCTTCTCGTAGCATGGTTTTGAGAAAGGTTGATTCTTGTCGGACTGATGAAAGTGAATGCCCGGACGACTGACTTTGTCCCTGTATTTAGGCACTCGAGGTAACCCTCGGTGTCGGTATGGATGTGCAAAGCGGCAAGACGGGATGGGGTATTCTGGGTAAGGAGGAAAGGACGAATGCCTTGCCGAGACCTGAGTACCGCGCTCGCAACGGTTGAGCTGCGCTTGAGGTATGGGATAAAACTCTATCGATAGTATCAGCGGAGAGACCATATTGGGATGGCCGTTGAGGAGATGACCGGCCCGTATGTGAGGTTGCCTGATTTTTTTATATGTGTTTCCCCCCCCCGTAAAGATTGATTGAGCTTGGATTGTTGGACGAACACTCTTCTAAGTCTATTCCCCCTCCCTTCTAAGTCCAGACGAGTGAGAGACGATCGGAAGGAAGGAGGATAGAGGTCAATTGGAATGGAACCAAGAGAAAGAATGTGGGCAAATGGATGGCCGACCGAGGGAATTAAGGGAAGGAGGTACTTAGGAAAGGGGAGGTAAAATAGGGAGACCTTGATGAGGGGTCTGAAATAATTCTCATCTAGGACAAGCGATAGTCTGGGCAGGCCACTTTCCCTCCCCTACCATTGGGATGTTCTACGATGTCGCTGTGGAGCATGGGCCGTTCTGGGGAAACAGGGCCCACGAATTACTAGAAGTCATCCACATCCTAATGTTTTGTGCGCCTCGGCTAGACTGCACAGGGTGCGAATGCATAATCCAAAGGGAAATCGAGATAGGGGAGAATTATCTAACGGGGGTGGCTCAACTATTCGAGGAGCCTACCGAACCAGAAGAGCCGCGAGGGCGAGAGCGGGACTAGCATCCGCAGGCGGGTCAATAGGGCAGATCGAGTATAGTTCACTGCGTACGGAAGTTCGCCGATGGGAATAAGAGAGGGGCCTCAGACCTGGATGGCTAAAACCCACTAGAAAAACAAAGAAGGGGGGGCAGACTCCTAATGATTGGCCATAACCCTGAAGGTCAAAAACGGGAAACGCTGCTCAGGAAGACTTCCCCTAGCACGATGCCTAAACCCGGACTCCCTCGCATCGGCCGACGGGACAAGGGCACTACAAACGTGCTTGTGATAAAGGAAGCCCAGTCACGTTCATAGCTCGGCTGGGCGGCAGGGCCAGTCGTGGCTCCTCCTTAAGGAAGGGCAATCAGGAAACGGGGATAGGAAAGGAGGCTATAAAGATAAGCCAACAGAGTTGGGAACCTAGGGAACCTAAATACCTCGCATTGCGTGTGTCCTGGGAATTCTTTGGCTTATGCAGAACTAGGAAAAATGGCAACGGAGGAGGAGACAGATAACCGTAAGAGTGAAGGAGAACCAGGCTTAGGAGGAAGTGCCGCACAAAGCGACGGGGGGCAGAAGGACAGAGAATCGATAAATCCGGATGGTACCAAAGGGAACCGGAAGGAAATCTCGACAGGAGAAAGCTGGGGGAAAGTCGGGGGAAGCAGGCAAGGGACTCAGGGGACCAAGGAAGGTAGAAATAAGGATAGGACAAGCCCCCGAAACTCGGAAGGAGCCATGCCTAAGAAAGTAAGGGTCACCGATACGAGGCGCAAACTAGCCGAGATAGAAAAGAGGACCGCGGAATACAAGGCAAGATTGATTGAGGAAATGATGACTGGGAACTAAGAAGGTCCTCTGCAGGAGGAACCCCGGGACGAACGGAAAGCCAGCCAAGGTGGGACTGGACGAGGGGATAAAGGTAGTGACCGTGGGGGAACGTCGAGCAAGAGAAGGAAAGAGAGAGAGAACTCTCCGGGGGTGGAAGCAGAAAAGGCTACGACTCCGCCAACCATGGATAGTGGGGCTAGCCGCCTGCCGATCACGCCACCAGTAGCACGAGGATGCGAAGGACTTTGGAGCCTTAGGGAAAGAGTGTTGGGATGGTTTGACCCGGAAGGAACTATGAAAACCAGGGAGGGACAGAAGGCCGACAAGGAAAGTCCGGATAACAGTATGGCAGGCGAGGCCAGCAGCTCCGAGGGCGGTCTTAAGAAAATAGTGTCGTCCCTCGCGCGAGCACTAAACAAAAATCAAAGCTACCTAGCGGATGCTAAGAAAAAATTGACGTTTGATGGGGCGAACATCACAGAATTCCTGATAGATTACGAGAATCTGGCTGCGTTGTTGAAATGGACCGAAAAAGAGAAGATGGACCACCTAAGGCAGCATGTGTCTTTGAGCCCAGGACGGGACATAATGGCCATTGTGGCCGCGAGCCGGTCTTGGAAAGAAACCCAAGATGTGATGATGAGAAAATATCTGGCAGCAGAGAAGATGGCAACGGAGGCCGATTTAGCGGCAGTCGAGAGGAAGAACTTCGCAATGTACAATGACTTCCTACGGGAGTTTACTTTGGTAGCACTAAGGATCCCCGGGGTCACGGACCGGATAATGAGCAAGTATTTCCTCAGGCAGTTCTTTGAGTTCGCCAAAGACAAGATCCTGTCAGCTTACCAACAGACGAGCAAGTTCGTAAACACGCGGGATGTTGATTTTAGCACGGTAACAGATATGGCTGAGAAAACGGTAGTAACAGACACGTTGGCCTTGCTCAAGGAAGGGGAGGTCATAGACTTGACCAGGTTGACGGGCGACAAGGTAAAAAAGGGGATTGAAAGCCTACACGAACGGGTGCACGGAGTCGACAACAAGATTGAAAGGATGGAGAGCGCGCTACTAGTTATGCAGGCACAAGTATCCCGTCCCCCCCTCCCGCCTCAGGAAGCAGTAGTTCCACCAGGGGTAGCCAATCGTAGATATGGACGGAGAGATCCCGCCAACGAACAATGCAAATACTGTACCGCAGTAGGGCATTTTGTGCAGTCGTGTCCAAAGCTCAACCATGACATACTGAAAAGGAGGTGTACCAGGTCATTAAAGGGGGAGATATTTGGACCACAGGGGGAACGGGTGAACTGGAACTCACCAGGAGGGATGCGGCGAGCCATCATCATGCTCAACAGGTTAGAAAAAACAGCCGTAGAAGCCGAACCGATGGGCGAGATCATCTGGGATCAACTCCGGGGGCGCGGGCCGCAGGTCAACTTCATTCTGGAAAGCGACGAACGGGATAGGGTAAACGCGACTACTCGACTTGGGACGGCTGGGAGAAGGATTATTCGTGACGCCGTAATGGAGGAGGTTGCTGGAAGTTCGGAACCGCAGGCAGAGCCTGAGGCTGAGGAACCGGAAAAGGTCTATGGGAAGCCTAGGGAAGAGGAGCCTGCGGACAAGGTTACCGCCGCTAAGAAAACGTTTCGGTATCAAATCCCGATCTTAACCTTGACTGAGCTCGACGACACCATTAGCAAGTTACTAGGAACCATGGTGTCGGTGTCTTTTCAGACCATGCTGCAGGCTAGCCCTAGGTTGCTCAAAGGGCTCAGACAACTGTTGACTCGGAGGCGAGTAGAAGTAGGCGACAACCCCGAATTACCAGAAGGGGATAGGCAGGAGGAAGCTCCGCAAGAAGTGGCTAACCTTCAGAGGAGTCACGGGGACTTGGAGGATCTCGAAAAAGCCTTTGCAGACATTCGTTTGAGCTTGCCCGACCAAGAGGGCGACGAAGTCATGAGATCACCACCCGGGACGAAACTTAGCTTTCATGCGCTGCCCATAGGGAAACTGAAAATCCAGATCGGGAGTCATCATACTGACGCATTAGTAGACGGGGGAGCAGAAATCACTCTCATAAGAAGAGATTTCGCAACGATCACAAGGAAGTAACAGGGAGCATCCGGGGAGCTGGCGGGGAAATCCCGTTTGCTGGGTACGCCGCAAAGTGTGCTGTAAAGGCAGGGGTCAGGGAATCGATCTGGTTGTTTCAACGGATGACCGTAATGGAGGAGATGGACCACGACATAATCCTCGGGAGACCGTGGTGCGTGAACGTGGAGATGATAGGCATGCACTTGCACGATGGCTCATACATGGTAGACATAGAGGACCCTGTGACCGGCCGGGGAGAGCTCCTCCGACTCCTTGGAACGGGAGGAGACCCCCCGAAGGGGAAATTGGCAACATGGTCGCCGTCGTTCGAGGATAGCACGCGAAAAGGGGCTTTCGCACGGATGGAGGGTATGAGAGAAAGGGTGGAAATCATGATTGAGGAAGCATTCAACAAGAAGGAGTGGATCAAGATGGGCCTGCCCCAGAAGAAGAGGAGGCAGGAGGACGAAGTCCTAGGTGTTATGGTAGCGGAAAATGAGTCAGAGGTCGAACTTGGTGCTAGTCTGCCCAAACGGAAAGAAGTACGCATAGACGTGCCAGAAATCTCACTCGAGATCCCCAATCTATTACAACTCATCAAGGCCCTCAGATACCACAAGGTAGGAGTGGATTCGGCAGCCTTGGCCAAGTTCGAAAGAGAGGTGCAAAAGGGATATTGCCTGAATGGGTTAGCATTCAACCGCGAGTCGTAGAGGCGACGGGGGCGATCCCGACTGTTCATTTTTTAGGAGAAAGATCCCGAAAGAAAGTGTTCGAAAGTACAAGCCGGTAGGGAAGAAAGCAAAATTGGTCTCGATCCTGCTAGAAACATCAAAGGAAGAGGCTATGGAGAAGGAGGAAGAGGTCCTTCGAGTGATCCGAGAAAGAAGGGCGACGGAGGGACATCGGATACCAGATGAGGTAGCTGACACAATGAAGATAGGGATAGACGGGTTCTTAACGGGAGAAGAAACCCGCCTGATCAAAAGGACCTGCCAAGAGTTTCATCTGGCATTTACCTTTAATGATCACCAGAAGGGACGACTGGATGCGAAGTTGATCCCTCCGGTCAGAATCCACACGGTGGAACATGAGTGCTGGAATGACAAGGGGCCATCCTATGAATTTGGGATAGCAGAAGAAGTAACAGACCTCCTCCGAGCAAAGATGGACTCCTTCGTTGCGGAGCCTACGGCATCGCCATACGCAAATCGGTGGTTCGTCTTTCGGAAGCCTAACAAGACACTAAGGTGGATTCAGGACCTGCAGAAGTTGAATGCGGTAACCATCCGGGATGCTGGCTCGCTGCCTCAGGCTGACTTATTAGCAGAATCGCACGCCGGTCGGAGCATTTACTCCCTGATAGATCTGTACTCAGGGTACGAACAACTTTTGTTGGATGTTCGGGACAGGCCATACACCGCTATGCACACCCCCGTAGGCCAACTACAAATGCAAGTGACCCCTATGGGATTCACAAACGCGGTGGCCGAAGCGCAACGCAGGATGCTCGCCGTGGTCGGGGACATGTTCCCAGAAAAATGTGAGCCTTACATCGATGACAATCCGATCAAAGGCGCGCAGGAGAAGGACGAGACGGAAGTCCAGCCAGGGATCCGACGTTTTGTGTGGAACCACCTGCAGAACATCGAGGACTTACTCCGCCGGTTCCTAGTATACAACATTACGGCTATAGTGGACCAAAGAGTATCCTAGCAGTACCGGAGGTAACTATACTAGGATTTCGTTGCGGTGCTTACGGTAGGAAGCCGGATTCGGCAACTCTTTCCTTTCCCAAGATTCCACTAAGCTCATCACTGCTTCCCGGCCTCCCTCGACTGCCATTGCTATTAGTTCCTCTTTCGGTCCTACTATTGCTCCCCATGAGTCCTTTTCTTCTCTGCGTCCTCGAGTGGTAACTGGTCCTTCTCTAAGTTCTGCTACTAAGGCAGGTGTTCCCTTCTCCAAAGTTTGGATCAATAGTTCTCCCGATGTGCATTCCCCGCTCATCATTTCGTTATCCACCGTGAGAGTCTGTCCTTCGTATTCGAGGAATGCATCTATGGGCTCTGCATCCTCCATCCCTTCGGGAGTGCAAACCCGACTCAGCCCATCTGCCTTGTTGCGGATTCCAACAATCCGTTCGATCTTATAATCGAACTGCTAGATGAATCCTACCCATCTCCCTACCGTCGGATCTATAGGCATGTAATTCTTTAGAGCCCCTGCGACATTCGTCGGATCGATCCTTAAGATGAACCGCCTCCCAAATAGGTAGGCTTGGAAGGTCTTAAGGCAATGCAGGATGGCTAGGACTTCCTTCTTGAATTGCGAGTACCGCCGTTCTGCGGAGTTCAGGGTTCTACTTTCGAATCTAATTGGCCTCTCTTTTCCTCCCTCGTCCCTTTGAATCAGTACGCCTCCTACGGCCAAGGGCCCTCCATCTGTTTCCAGGATGAATGGTCGTCCTACCTCATCATTAAAACAAGGCGCGGACAGAGCGACTGTCTCAGATGTCAATATATCCTTGAGCCTTTGGACAACTCCTTCTCGCTCCTCCGTCCAATCCATGGTTCCTTCTTCCCTGATCATAGCCCGGATAGGCTCAGCAATCTTGGCAAAGTTCTTCATGAAGATCCTCAAAAAGCCAACTACGCCTAGGAATGCCCTTACCTCCGTCGTCGTGCGCAGTGGTGTCGGCCACTGTGATGGTCATTTGTTCCGAAGGGAGGAAGGTGCTATGCCCAGAAGGGTTGTGTGCGGAAGAACTAGGCAAGTAGACGTTATCCAGGCAATGCACGATGGGTTGGCTGGAGGTCATCGGTCGTCTAAAGGAACGCTTGCAAAGATGACGCCACTCTATTATTGGCCAGACATGGTAGGCATGGTCGCCATATACTGCCAAACTTGCCTTATTTGCCAAGAACGAAGCTCGGTGCGGGTCTTCGAGCCGCTTAGACCAACGCGGGTGCTAGGGCCGGGGCATCTGGTCCACCTCGACCTTGCGGTCATGCCTGTATCAACGTATGGGTACAGGTATATCATGGATGCGCGAGACAACCTGAGTGGGTTCGTGGAGGCAGTCTCCCTCAAGAAAAAGACAGGGAGGAGTGTGGCGGACTGGATAGAAGACTTCTACTTGAGGCATCCGTTCGTCAGGAGGTTTATAGCAGACAATGGGACGGAGTTTGTGAACCAAGAAGTATTGGGGATGCTTAAGAGACTCTGCTTACCGATCAAACTCATCGAGCCGTATCACCCTGAGGCCAATGCACCTGTGGAAAGGGGGCACCGAACCTTGAAGAACACGATTGCAAAGCTCGCAGCGGGCCATCTGGGGAACTGGCCTATGTATCTTAAGCAGGCGGTCTTTGCAGAGAATATGACCCCTAAAAGGACAACAGGATGTATCCCGACAGAGCTTTGGTACGGAAGAGAGATCGACTTTCCTGTGGAAGCCTTGGTACCTACCTGGAATAGGTTAGACAATGATCCGCAAATGAACACTGAGGAGTTAATCGAGGCAAGATGTCAACAAATCCTTAAGAATGAGAAGGTCATGAAAGACATCGCCAACCGGGTACTAGACAACAGAATGAGGGACAAAACAAGGTGGGACCAGGTTAAGAATGTCAGAAAGGAGCCACTTCAAGTGGGAGAGATGGTATTGCTAGGGAACTCGACACTAAAAAGTACTTGGTTGGGACAGCTGGGAAAGAGGTTCAAAGGCCCTTACCGGGTCGCCAAGCGGGTGGGACTGAACACCTTCGAACTGGAAGATTTGGATGGAACTGGGTTGAAAGGGCCCTTCCCGGGGCAACGATTGGTCAGGTTTCTAAGTCTGGACCCAGTGGAACAATGGCTTCAGGAGGCCGAAGATAAGGAAACTGAGGAGCCACAAGCTAAAGACTGACCACAGCCTTGCCCGCACTATGGTTTGTCTCTGACCATGTTCATGGGACTGTCATTTTTTTTTGGGGACTGGCGCTCTGGCTTGGACTGACTGAGGTTGAAAGGCAGCGTGACTTGGGGGTTTGCAATATCTGGCTTGTGTGACAACGGGGAGGGATGTCTGGGGCATTGTACCATAGTTTTTTACGGGAAAAAAATGGAGTCATCACAAATGACGCATTCGCATGTATAATAGGGGCATGTTGCGAAGGACGTTGGGAACATTCTAGGAAAAAGGGAGGGACTACCTACCAGACTGGGGGAATAGGTGCATGAGGGGCTTTGCGGGTGTTGTTTTGTTATACAGGGTCTAAAAGAAAAGAGAAGATGGAGTTCGGTGATGAAAATGACAGCGAGGCAATCAACAGGCCTACCGGAGGGGAGGGAGCAGGACCAAGCCAAGGGAGGAGAGCGACAAAGAGAAAGTTGTATATAGGACTCATGGGTGGCCCAGTGGTGGGCAGGGGAGGAAGGAAATGCTTGTGTAGGAAACCCTCACCCCTCCGCGAGGGAGAAGGTATAAAAATCTCGTCTGATAGTGAGGGAGGGAAGGAAAAGGCAGAAGTGGAAGAAGGAGGCAATGCAGAGAAGGGAAATAAGGCTCAGGTCTCTGACGAGGAAGGAGTCAACAGGGGCAAGCGACGTGAGACTTGGCATGGGGAAAGCGAGGGGGGACAACGCATGCACGACGAATATGAGGAGGGTGAGGAAAGAAGGGAAAGCCCACTTGAAGGACGAAGCGGCCACGACAGTTGCGAGGGGTATGGGACGGGGACAGAGATTCCTTTTACCTACGATCCAAAGAACATTGCAGGTGGGTATAGCCCCATACAGACAGAAGACGAGGAGGACGAGGAGGAGGATGTGCGAGAAGTCATAGAAATCAGCAGCGGGGATGAGAGGGATGAGATCTCGAGGCCTACGAAAGAAGGGCGGCCTCCGATGCACCAGCCGGGCGATGGGGCTTTCAGATGGGAGGACGAGTTTGGACCGACGCCCAGTCATTGGTTTCAGCAATGGACCAATGTGATCAGACACGAATGGATTATCAAAACTCGGGAACTCGCAAGGGCAGGGGTGGAAGCCACACCACTGGATTTTTTCAACGAGGCAGAGTTACGAAAAATTGTAAGGATGAAAAGATAAATCGAGACCTACGGCCTGGGGGTTAGAAAGCCTGCCGAGGAACGGGGTGGACAAGGAACTGAGCAAGACGAGGCACAAGGCAGCAATAGGAACTAGGTGTTGACTTAGCATTGAAAAGGATCGTTGCTTTTCTGTCTGCGGAGACATGAGAATGACGACAATGTGTACAGTATGGGCAAGCTTGCTAAGGATGAAGTGAAAAGAGGGCCAGCTAAGGTTGTGTCACGATAAGATAGAAGATAGTTTTGAGGCTACTTTTTGGATGAGCTACCTTGGGTACATAAGACAATGACATGGGATTTAGGATGAGACCAATTGGGAGAGGGTGTATTGTGAATTCTGGATGGAATAAGGATTATGCTTTTGAGAGGGGAAAACCTTGAGTACGGATTGACGAGCGAACCATGACATTGAATGATTGGTCGAGTACAAGAGAGGTTAGGGAACCTATGGGTTAAGGGGCGTGAAGAACACTCCTTCCCTAGGAGCCTAATCCAACTGAGTCATGAATGAGACTGAGAATAGTCGAAACCTGAGTGATCAGGAAGAGTGAAAATGGAAGGGGCGCCTTTGTCTTTTGTTATGGATGAACGGCCGGGTGGGCTAGTGCTGCTTGGGGTCGCGAGCCCCAACTCGAGTGCTAAACGCTAAGTCGGATGTACGCACGGATGGTAAACTACTGTGAGAGAAGGAAGAAAGAGAACAACACGCAAAAGATGAGATGGCCACCTTCTAACCTCCAAGACAGAAATGGGATCCATAACCTCGAGGCCCACCCCCTCGGGCACTAACATTGAGAATGGAAAGAAATGGCGCTAGCCAGGCTGTTCGACTTGAGAATGGAAAGGAATGGCCCTAGCCAGGCTGTTCGACTTGAGAATAGGAAGGAATGACCCTAACCAGGCTGTTCGACTTGAGAATGGAAAGGAATGACCCTAACCAATGGAAAGGAATGACCCTAACTAGGCTGTTCGACTTGAGAATGGAAAGGAATAACCCTAACCAGGCTGATCGACTTGAGAATGGAAAAGAACGACCCTAACCAGGTTGTTCGGGAATGGCCCCTGACAAGGGTCATTCCTTTTGAAATAGGCACTGGGGTCCCCTGCATATTTGATTGAGAAAGGTTGATTGAGAATGTGCCTGAATGAGCAATAAGAGATGGAAAAGGCCGGTGGGTAGGTCTTTGAAATAGCCAATGGGATGGACAGAAGAGATGGAAAAGGCCGGTGGGTCGGCCGCTGAAATAGCCAAGGGGGCGGAAGAAAGATGTGAGTGAGAAGGACAAGATAAAGAAGGCGAAGCCTTAAAGCCGAGAAGGGCAAGGACCGTTGGGACGGTCACCGAGAGTGGGTGTTGAGGAATGAGAGAATTGAGGATTGAATGGGCGGAAGGGTCAGTCTTGAGAAATGGCTATTGAGAAAATGACCGCCAGACCAGCCATGTGGGTGGCCTTGTTGATGAGAGGCTGTCGGACCAGCCATGAGAATCAGCCTTGGAAATAGTATGGGATTGAGTGTTGAAGATTGAATATTGCATTGCATAGTTAAGGGACCCTAGGCAACTTGATGTAAGGTCGTCGGGCCGACCATGGAAATAGCAAGAGATTGAGCTTTCCTTTTTTTCTAGTCTAGGGTCTCAACATAAGAGGGATATCAATGCCTGCAT